ATCCTGCCCATTGGCATTAATAAAAAACTCTGCCCCATTGCGTCAAAAATAACATGCCCAGTGGCTTAATTAACTATCAGCCCAGTGGCTTTAATTACAACTGGACCAGTGTCCAATAACACACCCAGCGGCTTCAACAACCTGCCTGTCCATTGGCGTCAATAACAACCAGCCAATTGTCTTCAGCAATAAACTGCCCAATGCTTTACAAGCAACCTGTCCAATGGCTTCAATAACAACACGCCCAGTTGCGTCAATAACAATCTGCCTCGTGGCGTCAATAACAACATGATCAGTGGCTTAACAAACAACCTGCCCAGTGGCGTCTACAACAACCTTCCCAGTGGCGTCAATAAACAACCTGCCCAGTGGCGTCAATAACAACCTGCCCAGTGGTTAACAAACAAACACGCCCAGTGGCGTCAAAAACAACAACACGCCCAGTAGCGTCTGTAACAACATGCCCAGTGGCTTAATTAACTATCAGCCCAGTGGCTTTAATTACAACTGGCCCAGTGTCTTCAATAACACACCCAGTGGCTTCAACAACCTGCCTATCCATTGGCGTCAATAACAACCAGCCAAGTGTCTTCAGCAATAAACTGCCCAATGCTTTACAAGCAACCTGTCCAATGTCTTCAATAACAACACGCCCAGTTGCGTCTATAACAACCTGACTCGTAGCGTCAATAACAACATGCCCAGTGGCTTAAGCAACAACCTGCCCAGTGGCGTCAATAAACAACCTGCCCAGTGGCGTCAATAACAACCTGCCCAGTGGCGTCAATAACAACCTGCCCAGTGGCGTCTATAACGACCTGCCCAGTGGCGTCAATAACAACCTGCCCAGTGGCTTTACAAACAAACACGCCCAGTGGCGTCAAAAACAACAACACCCCCAGTGGCGTCTGTAACAACATACCCAGTGGCTTAAATAACTACCAGCCCATGGCTTAAATTACGACATGCCCATTGGCTTCAACAGCATCCTGCCCATTGGCATTAATAATAATCTGCCCAGTGGGTCAATAACAACATGCCCGGTGGCGTCAATAGCAACATGCCCAGTGGCTTAATTTACTATCAGCCCAGTGGCCTAAATTACAACTTGCCCAATGTCTTCAATAACAACACGCCCAGTGGCTTCAACAACCTGCTCAGTTGCGTCAACAACAACAAGTCCAGTGGCTTCAACAACAACGTGCCCATTAGCTTCAATAACAACATGCCCAGCGGTTACTATCAGCCAAGTGGCTTTAATTACGACATGCCCAGTGGCTTCATTAACAACTAGTCCAGCGGCTTCCATAACAACCATCCAGTGACTTCAAAAAACAACCTGTCCAGTGGATTTAATGATAAACAGCCCAGAGGCTTAATATAACTATTAGTCCAGTGCCTTCAATAACAAACAGTCCAGTGGCGTCAACAACAACGTGCCCATTAGCTTCAATAACAACATGCCCAGCGGTTTAAATAACTATCAGCCAAGTGGCTTTAATTACGACATGCTCAGTGGCTTCATTAACAACTAGTCCAGCGGCTTCCATAACAACCATCCAGTGACTTCAAAAAACAACCTGTCCAGTGGATTTAATGATAAACAGCCCAGAGGCTTAATATAACTATTAGTCCAGTGCCTTCAATAACAAACAGTCAAGTGGCTTCAATAACAACCTTTCCAGTGACTTCATTAACAGCGATTCCAGTGCCTTAAATAACAACCTTTCCAGTGACTTCAATAACAACCTGTCCAGTGGATTTAATGCCCATAGGCTTAATATAATATCAGTATAGTGATACTAAAGGTGATATAATGTATACCTTATTGAGACAGCAACCAAACGACGAAAGAAAGGCAACTTAAACTTTAGATGAACTCTAACTCGAACTGTAACCTGTACATTAACTCGATGGTTAGTCACACTCCTAATATAGCTTTTAAACCTCGTGCGCACCAGTTTTAAAGTCGTGAAATCTCCCGTACACGAAAATATCTATTTTTCATTGGACTAAAAGGGCTCAGTAATACATGAACAATATAATTCCTAATATATGGAAATGAATATTGAAATAAAACAAATATACATATTTTGTAGGTTGGTTAGGTTATTAATCAAACGTACTTGTCTTGAATTCGGTATACAGGTCGATTTTCATTTAGCGACTGTTGATAAATACAATTTACTGTACAATGAAACACAATTTTCATTTTTTGCGATAAGCGTTACACTTATTACCAATTTACAGCACATAGCATATTTCAACGTGGTAAAAAGCATTCTCCTTGCCACACAGAGCAGAACATATCAATAAAAACGATCGATGTTGGGGTTTTTTTTTGTAGTTTATTGTATGCATGTTTATTTCCAAGACTGAACTTGTGGTTCGGTCAGTTTTTGGAAATATGTAGAACGATTTTCAATACATATTTATGCATATATAAGTTACATATGTTTTACAAGAATTTTGCACATATCAGATATAGTTTCTAGCTAAAGTTTGTAAAAGATATACGAAGACACTCTTATCAGATATCTTGATTTATTTTGCGACTCGCTTCAGCTATCTCAATTTCCGATACACCGATTTCAATCTACGGAACATAACCGATATTGACAAGATATTAAGAAACACGTTTATTTCATGTTTTTGGGATATATTTTGAAAGATCTTTTTTCTAGTAATTTAAAGAAGCCACAATCCAATTGTTTAGAACAGCAGTTGTATCTTGTCGGACAACATCAGGAGCAAGAACAAAGGCTAGAAACCTTATTTGTTTTCCCATACCCAACGTCACGGCCTTCACCACAAAACTAACGATTAAGACTGAAATGTGTTTGACCTACGAGTATTTTACTCTTAAGATTTTTTGTGAAAAGAGCCGCTGCTCAGTAATTGATCATTAATTACAAAAATCCATTTATTCATATGGGAACATTTGCATCGACTAAATAACTTTTTATATTTTGTGTGTTTACTGTTCGTTTCAGGGAACGTGATGTTTGATACTGTTCGTAGAAGCATGAAATCAAAGCTGTGGTTCATATATTTAGCTGTAGTTTGTCTGGCTTACAAGACAAGTGCATACAGTAAGTCTAGATAGCACGTGATTGGAACGCAATGAAAAGACATTATGAATAACGAGGTGTTCCGAGAAATTTAATAGTAAAGACGGACACCTCTAAAACTTTATAATTTATAAACAATGTGAATATTTTACATATTATGTGTTAAAGCTATTTACTTATAATTTAATTTTGGATGTAACGCGTCTTCTGATTGGCTGATGTTGTTTTGTTTATCAGCTCATAGACATAATTTAGTCATGTGACCGTGACGTCGTCAACGTTTTTTCATGATTTACTCCGGTTTAAAATGGAATTTAGAATTAAATTATAAGGAATGACTGTAATGTTTTTTCTGTCTATTCGAAATAACATAAAAAATGTGGTGCACACTTTAAAATAACCCGCTACGCGGGTTATTCAGTATGCGCCACATTTTTGATGTTATTTCTTCGTAGACAGAAAAAATATTACAGTCATTCCTTAAATATATTGAAATAATTCTTATATGATTTTCATTTTGGGGAATACGTTGATATGATTGGTCAAAAGAACTTCCGGAAGTTGTTCTTGACGTTGTTTATTTTTCGATAGACGACGTTGACCGAACTTCTTTTCGTAACCAATGTAAACTAGATGGCGTCGATAATAACACAATCCGGCTCGACGTTGACCACATTTATTTTCACTTCGCGTTAATCGTTAAATTAAATAATAAACACAAAACATTCATTTGAATGATAATAAGAGTTTTTGAAGTTTATATTTTATCAGATAGCAAATTTCATGGAATACATATTTTTGCGTTAACCAACAAATATATTCGTGCGCGAGGCTAATTCAATGACACAAATATACAAATTATGTGTGAAAGAAATTACGAGTGTAGAAAAATAAATTCCTTATCTCCAATTTTAAAGAATAATAAGGATATAATGCCTTTTTAAAGGAATTTATTGGTGTTTAAACCGGACCAAGTCACTCACAAACATATCACGAAGGACTTTTATTTGTTTGTGAGTAAATTGGTCGAGTTTATACACCAATATATTCCTTTAAAAAGTCGTTTAATCCTATATTAATTGTATGGTAATGTTCTTTTATTTAGAGATAGCTAATATCCTTGACATCACGAAACATTAATGAAATAAAAAATAAATGGTCAAAACCTGCATGATAAAATTTCATAAATGAATTACAATGCTACAATGATGCAATACAAGTATTCATTAAAAGGTCTACAGACATATTCGAAAAGAAATATTGTATTTTACAAACTGTAGAACTATGTGAATAATAATAATAATCTTATCTGTGAAATCTTTGTTTTGGATAGGTTCTTGCAAAGACATATACTTGGCCGACAATCGGAACTCAAACGGAAATTACGTCATTCATCACGATGGGAACGCAATCAACGTTTATTGTTCATTCGAAAGTAACTTTGGCTACACGTACATCTCTAAGGAGACATATGATACAGAACTAGACATTAGCTTGTTGTATACCACTCGAGATTTTGCCAAAATTCGCCTTAGACATAGCAATGGCGAACAGCGAGAAGTTATCGTAGAAAACTTGTCTACATTCCAAAGCTTGTCGACTTTATATTTTGGCTACAACAATCATACATCGTATCAGGGACCAGAAAGCCGGAACGCAGCTTTACAACCGTACTTATTCCTCGGCTTTTTACCTGAGAGTTTAGTGAGAAACAAAAAAACACAAGGGTACCGCGCAGCTGGAACGGACTTCACTTTCAAAAATTGTGATGCCAATCCGAACAGTTATATCACATTTTATTATAATCCAAACAATACATCACCTGGAAGGCTGGGTTATACAAATGACTTCATGAAGGGGTGGATGGTTAACTCTGAAGTATTGCCAATGAACAACTATATGGATACTGATTTCTACTTTGACTGGGAAATGCACATGGGTGGATGTGGTGGATTCATGACGTCACATTATATGTCAAACAGCAGAGCGTCACTTGGATTACCGTTTAGTATGTATATTTGTTTTTATGATATACTATTTAGTAACTTTGATTTTGTTTAATACTATTTGTGAATGTGAACCTTTAAAGTTAAATATTGAACAAATAATGATATCAAATGTATATAAAAAACGAAGTAAAAATTATAAAACGCATTTGTACTGAAAGCCACTGTAATAAGCGTTTCATTATTAAATCTATTATTCCAGTTTTTGAATTGCAAATTAGCGACTTTTAACGATACGAGTAGTATCACAGTATCAATAATTATTGTTTTATTGTCCAGGCATACAACTATGTGACGGTGTTAATTGTCAAAATGGTGGAAGTTGTGATTCATCCGGGTCATCAGCCTGTTGTAGATGTACCGGGAATTACTTCGGTGACAGATGTGAAAATCGTAAGAAATAATATGTTAACGTTCATCTTATGTATAGATAAGACATACTAAAATACAGCCAAATGTTTATTCTTTGGCAGCATGCGTATTTTACAATGTCGTTTCAGTGTATAGTTACAAATAAGTTCACCAGAATCAGCTAAGGAGAATGACAGCCTTCCCATACAATTATAATCATTTGTGATGCTGATTACCCGCCAATATAAAATTGCTGTTTCAAAGACCAATTGTGTGACATTTATGTTTTTGATTTAGGTTTTCTTCATAGCATTATGTACTCAATATAAAAAAAAAAAAAAACGTTTACAAAATACATGTAAACCTAAAAATACGAATACAATGTATTAAAGATATATTTATCTAAAGTTGATGGAGGATGGACAGAATGGACAGTCTGGAGTGATTGTCCAGAAACTTGCAGCGATGAGGACCTTATTAGGACTAGATCCTGCACAAATCCTTCTCCAGAAAATACCGGAACAGTTTGCCAAGGACACACCTCGGAAACAATTTCATGTTCTACAGCAAAATGCCCAGGTAAGATATCCATAGCACAGAGGTGTTGTTCAAGAAAATATTTTTTTTAGTATGGACAAGCTTAATATTGTATCATAGATCAAACTAATTCGTATTTCAATGGATATTTTATAGTGTGTCTTTTTGTGTTGTAATGTTACACTACTGTTTCAGGTTAGGGTGAAGGTATGCAATTGTTAAAACGTTTAAATTCGCTGCATTTGTATTCATCTGTCCTAAGTCAGGAGCATGTTGTTCTGTGGTTGTCGTTTGATGGTGTGGTTCAAAAGTGTTTTTCATATAGATTAGACCGATGGTTTTCCTGTTTTAATCATTTCACATTAGTCATTTTGGGGCCCTTTAAATATATATATATATATATATATTCTACTTAAGTTAATGGTGGGTGGACAGAATGGTCAGTCTGGAGTGATTGTCCAGAAACTTGCAGTGATGAGGAACTTATTAGGACTAGATCCTGTACAAATCCTTCTCCAGAAAATAACGGAACAGTTTGTCAAGGAAGCACCACGGAAACAATTTCATGTTACACTGCAAAATGTCCAGGTAAGAAATACATAAAACGGAGTGTATGTTTAAGTAAAAAGTAACCAATAAGGACACCCTTAAAGCAAATAGACTTGTTATTTTAACAAATATGAAAATTACATTTACGACTGCTAACTTGACAGAATCCCGTTGTTATCACAAATTAAAAAAAGAAATTTCAATTTCATGTATAAAAAAAAATAATTGTTTTGGCATACAATTTGTAAAAATGATATAACATATACCACAGCTATTGCACGAAACACTCAATAAAGTACTCATCAGCAGGCGTGCTTAAGGACGATACTTTGTGAGTTCCATGACACTGTTTATCGGGAGTTAGTCGTTTCCATTTCAACCTTAAACATAGAAATATAACTTATGGATATATTTTCTATTTAAGTGAATGGTGGATGGACCGAATGGTCAGTCTGGAGCGATTGTCCAGAAACTTGCAGTGATGAGGACCTTATCAGGACTAGATCCTGCACAAATCCTTCTCCTGAAAATAACGGAACAGTTTGCCAAGGAAACACATCGGAAACAATTTCATGTTACACTGCAAATTGCCCAGGTAAGAAATACATAAAAAAGAGTGCTTGTTTAATTCAATAGTTATATGTAACGACAAGCTAATGCAAAAAGAGAGTTTTTTGTAACAAATTTCGAAATTCAAAACATGTTGTAAAATCATATTCACGACAGATAGATTTAAAACTCCCTCAGTAATTACAAGTTCTAAAATATTTTTGTCAGTTTTATATTGAAATAAAAGTAATTCTTTTGGTATCACGGTTTTGAATTAAGAATTTCATAAAATGAAAGATTGTGAGCTATATGTCACTGGTTCATCGGGAGTAAATCGTTTCAATTGCAACCTTAAGAATATAAAAACAACTTATTTGATATATTTTCTACTTAAGTTAATGGTGGATGGACAGAATGGTCAGTCTGGAGTGATTGTCCAGATACCTGCAGTGATGAGGACCTTATTAGGACTAGATCCTGTACAAGTCCTTCTCCAGAAAATAACGGAACAGTTTGTCAAGGAAACACTTCGGAAACAATTTCATGTGATACTGCAAAATGCCCAGGTATGATATTAATAAACCTAATTTTTGTTTAATAAAATAATTATTAGTAAGTACAAGCGTTATGCAAAAACAGAGTTTTAACGAAGTTTCAACAAAAAATATGTTGCAAACTAACATTCACGACTGCTAGGTTTACACAATCTCCCAGTAATTACAAATTGAAAATAATTTTCAATTTCATTTATAAATAGAAGTCATTCTTTATTTATCAAATTTGTAAATATGAGATTACATATACCACAGCTTTTGTGTTGCACACTAGACAAAGTACATGTCACCAGGCGTGCTTAAAGACGATACGTTTTTAGCTTTTTGTCACTGGTCTATCGAGAGTTAGTCATTATAATTGCATCATTAAATATATAAATAGAACTTATGAAATATATTTTTCTATTTAAGTTAATGGAGGATGGACCGAATGGTCAGTCTGGAGTGATTGTCCAGATACTTGCAGTGATGAAGACCTTATTAGGACTAGATCCTGTACAAATCCTTCTCCAGAAAATAACGGAACAGTTTGTCAAGGACACACCTCGGAAACAATTTCATGTACTACAGCAAAATGCCCAGGTTAGATATCCATAACACAGAGGTGTTGTTTAAGAAATAGTTTGTTTAGTATGGACAAGCGTAAGGGCATACGATATAGTTACAGGGGAGGTAATGACGTTGCTAACGTAAAATGTTATTTTCGCGACGTCAAACTGTGACATATCGGGAAAAGATGCATTTTTCGACTGATTTTTATCATTCAAACTGATTTAACTTTTAAACGAGTTCATGGGCACCTCTTTTTTAAAATGACATTCGGTTTGATTACATATGAAGATTATTTGTACCAATTTTCTTGAAAAAGTCAATAATGCAATTTTTTAAAATTTGATAAATATACAGCAAAAAATGACGTTTTTTTCTACATTTATGAACATTTGATAAATTTTAGTAATTCTAAACAAAAAATTTCATAAATTTATAAAATACTTAAAAAAAAGAGAAATTATTAATAATTTAACAAAAAACAGCTTGTGTTTATCTCTTAAAACACTAAAGTTATGCATTTCTGTCGGAAGGAAAAATACGTCCACAAATCCGAATTTTGAGCAAATATCTGAAATTTCGACCTCATTTTACTCAAAAAGTAGCACACGAAGGTACATTTTTTATTACATATTTGATTTAAGCAGGTAAAAAATAGCCTATTTGCAAATTTTCATCAAAATTTCATTATGGGATCAAAACTGTATCGTATGCCCTTAAAATTGTATCATACATCAAACTTATTCGTATTTCAATGGATATTTTATAGTGTGTCTTTTTGTGTTGTAATGTTACACTACTGTTTCAGGTTAGGATGAAGGGTGGCCTTGTTAAAATTTTTAAATAGCTGCATGAGTATGCATCTGTCCTAAGTATGGGGCATGTTGTTCTGTGGTTGTCGTTTGATGGTGTGGTTCAAAAGTGTTTCTCAATTCTCGTTTTTCATATAAATTAGACCGTTGGTTTTCCTGCTTTAATTATTTCACACTAGTCATTTTGGGGCCCTCAACAGTGTGATGGTCGGTGTGAGCCAAGGCTCTGTGTTAAAAGACGTAATTTTACTTATAATTGTTAACTTTTTATACATTGTGACTTAAATGGAGAGTTGTCTCATTGGCACTCATACCACATCTTCTTACTAGTATTTATATTAATATCAGAAAGGTATCACAGTATAGAAATATGATTTTTTATTACTTTTATAGACAGAAGTTATGCTTTTGTTATAAAGGTAGCACAATTACGATTTTGTGTTCAGCAGCTTTTGTATTAAACATTATTTAAGAACGCATCTACAGGCGTACGAAGAGACAAAAGTTTTGTGAGCTAAATGCCACAGGTTCATAGGGAGCAAATCGTTAAACTGCAAATGGTAATTATTAGATATATTTTGTACTTAAGTCAATGGTGGTTGGACAGAATGGTCAGTCTGGAGTGATTGTCCAGATACTTGCGGTGATGAGGACCTTATTAGGACTAGATCCTGTACAAATCCTTCTCCAGAAAATAACGGAACAGTTTGTCAAGGAAGCACCACGGAAACAATTTCATGTTACACTGCAAAATGTCCAGGTAAGAAATACATAAAACGGAGTGTATGTTTAAGTAAAAAGTTACCAATAAGGACACCCTTAAAGCAAATAGACTTGTTATTTTAACAAATATGAAAATTACATTTACGACTGCTAACTTGACAGAATCCCGTTGTTATCACAAATTAAAAAAAGAAATTTCAATTTCATGTATAAAAAAAAAATAATTGTTTTGGCATACAATTTGTAAAAATGATATAACATATACCACAGCTATTGCACGAAACACTCAATAAAGTACTCATCAGCAGGCGTGCTTAAGGACGATACTTTGTGAGTTCCATGACACTGTTTATCGGGAGTTAGTCGTTTCCATTTCAACCTTAAACATAGAAATATAACTTATGGATATATTTTCTATTTAAGTGAATGGTGGATGGACCGAATGGTCAGTCTGGAGCGATTGTCCAGAAACTTGCAGTGATGAGGACCTTATCAGGACTAGATCCTGCACAAATCCTTCTCCTGAAAATAACGGAACAGTTTGCCAAGGAAACACATCGGAAACAATTTCATGTTACACTGCAAATTGCCCAGGTAAGAAATACATAAAAAAGAGTGCTTGTTTAATTCAATAGTTATATGTAACGACAAGCTAATGCAAAAAGAGAGTTTTTTGTAACAAATTTCGAAATTCAAAACATGTTGTAAAATCATATTCACGACAGATAGATTTAAAACTCCCTCAGTAATTACAAGTTCTAAAATATTTTTGTCAGTTTTATATTGAAATAAAAGTAATTCTTTTGGTATCACGGTTTTGAATTAAGAATTTCATAAAATGAAAGATTGTGAGCTATATGTCACTGGTTCATCAGGAGTAAATCGTTTCAATTGCAACCTTAAGAATATAAAAACAACTTATTTGATATATTTTCTACTTAAGTTAATGGTGGATGGACAGAATGGTCAGTCTGGAGTGATTGTCCAGATACCTGCAGTGATGAGGACCTTATTAGGACTAGATCCTGTACAAGTCCTTCTCCAGAAAATAACGGAACAGTTTGTCAAGGAAACACTTCGGAAACAATTTCATGTGATACTGCAAAATGCCCAGGTATGATATTAATAAACCTAATTTTTGTTTAATAAGATAATTATTAGTAAGTACAAGCGTTATGCAAAAACAGAGTTTTAACGAAGTTTCAACAAAAAATATGTTGCAAACTAACATTCACGACTGCTAGGTTTACACAATCTCCCAGTAATTACAAATTGAAAATAATTTTCAATTTCATTTATAAATAGAAGTCATTCTTTATTTATCAAATTTGTAAATATGAGATTACATATACCACAGCTTTTGTTTTGCACACTAGATAAAGTACATGTCACCAGGCGTGCTTAAAGACGATACGTTTTTAGCTTTTTGTCACTGGTCTATCGAGAGTTAGTCATTAAATATATAAATAGAACTTATGAAATATATTTTTCTATTTAAGTTAATGGAGGATGGACCGAATGGTCAGTCTGGAGAGATTGTCCAGATACTTGCAGTGATGAAGACCTTATTAGGACTAGATCCTGTACAAATCCTTCTCCAGAAAATAACGGAACAGTTTGTCAAGGACACACCTCGGAAACAATTTCATGTACTACAGCAAAATGCCCAGGTTAGATATCCATAACACAGAGGTGTTGTTTAAGAAATAGTTTGTTTAGTATGGACAAGCGTAAGGGCATACGATATAGTTACAGGGGAGGTAATGACGTTGCTAACGTAAAATGTTATTTTCGCGACGTCAAACTGTGACATATCGGGAAAAGATGCATTTTTCGACTGATTTTTATCATTCAAACTGATTTAACTTTTAAACGAGTTCATGGGCACCCCTTTTTTAAAATGACATTCGGTTTGATTACATATGAAGATTATTTGTACCAATTTTCTTGAAAAAGTCAATAATGCAATTTTTTAAAATTTGATAAATATACAGCAAAAAATGACGTTTTTTTCTACATTTATGAACATTTGATAAATTTTAGTAATTCTAAACAAAAAATTTCATAAATTTATAAAATACTTAAAAAAAAGAGAAATTATTAATAATTTAACAAAAAACAGCTTGTGTTTATCTCTTAAAACACTAAAGTTATGCATTTCTGTCGGAAGGAAAAATACGTCCACAAATCCGAATTTTGAGCAAATATCTGAAATTTCGACCTCATTTTACTCAAAAAGTAGCACACGAAGGTACATTTTTTATTACATATTTGATTTAAGCAGGTAAAAAATAGCCTAATTGTAAATTTTCATCAAAATTTCATTATGGGATCAAAACTGTATCGTATGCCCTTAAAATTGTATCATACATCAAACTTAATCGTATTTCAATGGATATTTTATAGTGTGTCTTTTTGTGTTGTAATGTTACACTACTGTTTCAGGTTAGGATGAAGGGTGGCCTTGTTAAAATTTTTAAATAGCTGCATGAGTATGCATCTGTCCTAAGTATGGGGCATGTTGTTCTGTGGTTGTCGTTTGATGGTGTGGTTCAAAAGTGTTTCTCAATTCTCGTTTTTCATATAAATTAGACCGTTGGTTTTCCTGCTTTAATTATTTCACACTAGTCATTTTGGGGCCCTCAACAGTGTGATGGTCGGTGTGAGCCAAGGCTCTGTGTTAAAAGACGTAATTTTACTTATAATTGTTAACTTTTTATACATTGTGACTTAAATGGAGAGTTGTCTCATTGGCACTCATACCACATCTTCTTACTAGTATTTATATAAATATCAGAAAGGTATCACAGTATAGAAATATGATTTTTTATTACTTTTATAGACAGAAGTTATGCTTTTGTTATAAAGGTAGCACAATTACGATTTTGTGTTCAGCAGCTTTTGTATTAAACATTATTTAAGAACGCATCTACAGGCGTACGAAGAGACAAAAGTTTTGTGAGCTAAATGCCACAGGTTCATAGGGAGCAAATCGTTAAACTGCAAATGGTAATTATTAGATATATTTTGTACTTAAGTCAATGGTGGTTGGACAGAATGGTCAGTCTGGAGTGATTGTCCAGATACTTGCGGTGATGAGGACCTTATTAGGACTAGATCCTGTACAAATCCTTCTCCGGAAAATAACGGAACAGTTTGTCATGGAAGCAACACGGAAACAATTTCATGTTACACTGCAAAATGTCCAGGTAAAAAATACATAAAACGGAGTGTATGTTTAAGTAAATAGTTACCAATAAGGACAACCACCAAGCAAACAGACTTGTTTTTTCAACAAATATGAAAATTACATTTACGACTGCTAACTTGACAGAATCCCGTTGTTATCACAAATTAAAAAAAGAAATTTCAATTTCATGTATAAAAAAAAGTAATTGTTTTGGCATACAGGTTGTAAAACTGATATTACATATACCACAGCTGTTGCACCAAACACTAAAAAAAAGTACTCATCAGCAGGCGTGCTTAAAGACGATACTGTGTGAGTTCCATGCCACTGTTTTATCTGGAGTTAGTCGTTTCAATTTCAACCTTAAAAATAGAAATATAACTTATTGGATATATTTTCTATTTAAGTGAATGGTGGATGGACCGAATGGTCAGTCTGGAGTGATTGTCCAGAAACTTGCAGTGATGAGGACCTTATTAGGACTAGATCCTGTACAAATCCTTCACCAAAAAATAACGGAACAGTTTGCCAAGGAAACATCTCGGAAACAATTTCATGTTCTACAGCAAAATGTCCAGGTAAGAAATACATAAAACGGAGTGTATGTTTAAGTAAATAGTTACCAATAAGGACAACCTGAAAAGAAATAGACTTGTTTTTTTAACAAATATGAAAATTACATTTACGACTGCTAACTTGACAGAATCTCGTTGTTATCACAAATTAAAAAAAGAAATTTCAATTTCATGTATAACAAAATAATTGTTTTGGCATAAAGGTTGTAAAAATGATATTACCTATACCTCAGCTATTGCACGAAACACTCCATAAAGTACTCATAGGCAGGCGTGCTTTAAGACAATACTTTGTGAGTTCCATGCCACTGTTTTATTTGGAGTTAGTCGTTCAATTTCAACCTTTAATATAGAAATATAACGTATTGGATATATTTTCTATTTAAGTGAATGGTGGATGGACCGAATGGTCAATCTGGAGTGATTGTCCAGATACTTGCAGTGATGAGGACCTTTTTAGGACTAGATCCTGTACAAATCCTTCTCCGGAAAATAACGGAACAGTTTGCCAAGGAAACACCTCGGAAACAATTTCATGTTCTACAGCAAAGTGTCCAGGTAAGAAATACATAAAACGGAGTGTATATTTGGGTAAATAGTTACCAATAAGGACAACCTTAAAGGAAATAGACTTGCTTTTTTAACAAATATGAAAATAACATTAACGACTGCTTACTTGACAGAATCCCGTTGTTATCACAAATCAGAAAAAAATATTTCAATTTCATGTATAACAAAAGTAATTGTTTTGGCATACAGGTTGTAAAAATGATATTACAAATATCACAGCTATTGCTCGAAACACTCAATAAAGTACTCATCAGCAGGCGTGCTTAAGACAATACTTTGTGAGTTCCATGTCACTGTCTTATTGGGAGTTAGTCGTTTCAATTTCAACCGTAAATATAGAAATATTACTTATTGGATATATTTTCTATTTAAGTTAATGGTGGTTGGACCGAATGGTCAGTCTGGAGTGATTGTCCAGAAACTTGCAGTGATGAGGACCTTATTAGGACTAGATCCTGTACAAATCCTTCTCCGGAAAATAACGGAACAGTTTGCCAAGGAAACACCTCGGAAACAATTTCATGTTCTACAGCAAAATGTCCAGGTAAGAAATACATAAAACGGAGTGTATGTTTAAGTAAATAGTTACCAATAAGGACAACCTTAAAAGAAATAGACTTGGTTTTTTAACAAATATGAAAATTACATTTACGACTGCTAACTTGACAGAATCTCGTTGTTATCACAAATTAAAAAAAGAAATTTCAATTTCATGTATAACAAAATAATTGTTTTGGCATAAAGGTTGTAAAAATGGTATAACCTATACCTCAGCTATTGCACGAAACACTCCATAAAGTACTCATAGGCAGGCATTCTTGAAGACAATACTTTGTGAGTTCCATGCCAATGTTTTATTTGGAGTTAGTCGTTCAATTTCAACCTTAAAAATAGAAATATTACGTATTGGATATATTTTCTATTTAAGTGAATGGTGGATGGACCGAATGGTCAGTCTGGAGTGATTGTCCAGATACTTGCAGTGATGAGGACCTTATTAGGACTAGATCCTGTACAAATCCTTCTCCGGAAAATAACGGAACAGTTTGCCAAGGAATCAACTCGGAAACAATTTCATGTTCTACAGCAAAATGTCCAGGTAAGAAATACATAAAACGGAGTGTATATTTAAGTAAATAGTTACCAATAAGCACAACCTTAAAGGAAATAGACTTGTTTTTTTTAACAAATATGAAAATTACATTTACGACTGCTAACTTGACAGAATCCCGTTGTTATCACAAATCAAAAAAAGAAATTTCAATTTCATGTATAACAAAAGTAATTGTTTTGGCATACAGGTTGTAAAAATGATATTACATATACCACAGCTTTTGCACGAAACACTCCATAAAGTACTCATAGGCAGGCGTGTTTTAAGACAACACTTTGTGAGTTCCATTCCACTGTTTTAACTGGAGTTAGTCGTTTCAATTTCAACCTTAAAAATAGAAATATAACATATTGGATATATTTTCTATTTTAGTGAATGGTGGATGGACCGAATGGTCAGTCTGGAGTGATTGTCCAGAAACTTGCAGTGATGAGGACCTTATTAGGACTAGATCCTGTACAAATCCTTCTCCAGAAAATAACGGAACAGTTTGCCAAGGAAACACCTCGGAAACAATTTCATGTTCTACAGCAAAATGTCCAGGTAAGAAATACATAAAACGGAGTGTATGTTTAAGTAAATAGTTACCAATAAGGACAACCTTAAAGGAAATAGACTTGTTTTTTTTTTAAATATGAAAATTACATTTACGACTGCTTACTTGACAGAATCCCGTTGTTATCACAAATTAAAAAAAGAAATTTCAATTTCATGTATAAAAAAAGTAATTGTTTTGGCATAAAGGTTGTAAAAATGATATTACATATACCACAGCTTTTGCACGAAACACTCCATAAAGTACTCATAGGCAGGCGTGCTTATAGACAATACTTTGTGAGTTCCATTATTTGGAGTTAGTCGTTTCAATTTCAACCTTAAAAATAGAAATATAACGTATTGGATATATTTTCTATTTAAGTGAATGGTGGATGGACCGAATGGTCAGTCTGGAGTGATTGTCCAGATACTTGCAGTGATGAGGACCTTTTTAGGACTAGATCCTGTACAAATCCTTCTCCGGAAAATAACGGAACAGTTTGCCAAGGAATCAACTCGGAAACAATTTCATGTTCTACAGCAAAATGTCCAGGTAAGAAATACATAAAATGGAGTGTATATTTAAGTAAATAGTTACCAATAAGGACAAACTTAAAGGAAATAGACTTGTTTTTTTTTAACAAATATGAAAATTACATTTACGACTGCTAACTTGACAGAATCCTGTTGTTATCACAAAGCAAAAAAAAAAAATTTCAATTGCATGTATAACAAAATAATTGTTTTGGCATACAGGTTGTAAAAATGATATTACCTATACCACAGCTATTGCACGAAACACTCCATAAAGTACTCATAGGCAGGCATTCTTGAAGACAATACTTTGTGAGTTCCATTCCACTGTTTTATTTGGAGTTGGTCGTTCAATTGCAACCTTAAAAATAGAAATATAACGTATTGGATATATTTTCTATTTAAGTGAATGGTGGATGGACCGAATGGTCAGTCTGGAGTGATTGTCCAGAAACTTGCAGTGATGAGGACCTTATTAGGACTAGATCCTGTACAAATCCTTCTCCGGAAAATAACGGAACAGTTTGCCAAGGAAACACCTCGGAAACAATTTCATGTTCTACAGCAAAATGTCCAGGTAAGAAATACATAAAACGGAGTGTATGTTTATGTAAATAGTTACGAATAAGGTCAACCTGAAAGGAAATAGACTTTTTTTAAACAAATATGAAAATAACATTTACGACTGCTTACTTGACAGAATCCCGTTGTTATCACAAATCAAAAAAAATAAAAATTTCAATTTCATGTATAATAAAATAGTTTGTTTTGGCATACATGTTGTAAAAATGATATAACAAATACCACAGCTATTGCACGAAACACTCCATAAAGTACTCATAGGCAGGCGTGCTTTAAGACAATACTTTGTGAGTTCCATGCCACTGTTTTATTGGGAGTTAGTCGTTTCAATTTCAACCGTAAATATAGAAATATAACTTATTGGATACTAGCATATTTTCTATTTAAGTTAATGGTGGATGGACCGAATGGTCAGTCTGGAGTGATTGTCCAGAAACTTGCAGTAATGAGGACCTTATTAGGACTAGATCCTGTACAAATCCTTCTCCGGAAAATAACGGAACAGTTTGCCAAGGAATCAACTCGGAAACAATTTCATGTTCTACAGCAAAATGTCCAGGTGAGAAATACATAAAACGGAGTATATATTTAAGTAAATAGTTACCAATAAGGACAACCTTAAAGGAAATTGACTTGTTTTTTGAACTAATATAAAAATTACATTTACGACTGCTTACTTGACAGAAACACCGTTGTTATCACAAATAAAAAAAATAAATTTCAATTTCATGTATAACAAAAGTAATTGTTTTGGCATACAGGTTGTAAAAATGATATTACATATACCACAGCTTTTGCACGAAACACTCAATACAGTACTCATAGGCAGGCATTCTTAAAGACAATACTTCGTGAGTTCCATGCCACTGTTTTATCTGGAGTTAGTCGTTTCAATTTCCACCTTAAAAATAGAAATATAACGTATTGGATATATTTTCTATTTAAGTTAATGGTGGATGGACCGAATGGTCAGTCTGGAGTGATTGTCCAGATACTTGTAGTGATGAGGACCTTATTAGGACTAGATCCTGTACAAATCCTTCTCCGGAAAATAACGGAACAGTTTGCCAAGGAAACACCTCGGAAATAGTTTCATGTTCTACAGCAAAATGTCCAGGTAAGAAATACATAAAACGGAGTGTATGTTTAAGTGAATAGTTACCAATAAGGACAACCTTAAAGGAAATAGACTTGTTTTTTTTTTTAAATATGAAAATTACATTTACGACTGCTAACTAGACAGAATCCCGTTGTTATCACAAATTAAAAAAAGAAATTTCAATTTCATGTATAAAAAAAGTAATTGTTTTGGCATACAGGTTGTAAAAATGTTATTACATATACCACACCTATTGCACGAAACACTCAATAAAGTACTCATCAGCAGGCGTGCTTAAAGACAATACTTTGTGAGTTCCATGTCACTGTTTTATTGGGAGTTAGTCGTTTCAATTTCAACCGTAAATATAGAAATATAACTTATTGGATATATTTTCTATTTAAGTTAATGGTGGATGGACCGAATGGTCAGTCTGGAGTGATTGTCCAGAAACTTGCAGTGATGAGGACCTCATTAGGACTAGATCCTGTACAAACCCTTCTCCGGAAAATAACGGAACAGTTTGCCAAGGAAACACCTCGGAAACAATTTCATGTTCTACAGCAGAATGTCCAGGTAAGAAATACATAAAACGGAGTGTATGTTCAAGTAAATAGTTACCAATAAGGACAACCTTAAAGGAAATAGACTTGTTTTTTTAACAAATAATAAAATTACACTTACGACTGCTTACTTGACAGAATCCCGTTGTTATCACAAATTAAAAAAAGAAATTTCAATTTCATGTATAACAAACGTAATTGTTTTGGCACACAGGTTGTAAAAATGATATTACATATACCACAGCTTTTGCACGAAACACTCCATAAAGTACTCATAGGCAGGCGTGCTTAAAGACAATACTTTGTGAGTTCCATGATTTGGAGTTAGTCGTTTCAATTGCAACCTTAAAAATAGAAATATAACGTATTGGATATATTTTCTATTTAAGTGAATGGTGGATGGAGCGAATGGTCAGTCTGGAGTGATTGTCCAGATACTTGCAGTGATGAGGACCTTGTTAGGACTAGATCCTGTACAAATCCTTCTCCGAAAACTAACGGAACAGTTTGCCAAGGAATCACCTCTGAAACAATTTCATGTTCTACAGCAAAATGTCCAGGTAAGAAATACATAAAACGGAGTATATATTCAAGTAAATAGTTACCAATAAGGACAACATTATAGGAAAACGACTTGTTTTTTTAACAAATAATAAAATTACATTTACGACTGCTAACTTGACAGAAAAAAATCCCGTTGTTATCACAAATTAAAAAAAGAAATTTCAATTTCATGTATAAAAAAAGTAATTGTTTTGGCATACAGGTCGTAAAAATGATATTACCTATACCACACCTATTGCACGAAACACTCAATAAAGTATTCATCAGCAGGCGTGCTTAAAGACAATACTTTGTGAGTTCCATGTCACTGTTTTATTGGGAGTTAGTCGTTTCAATTTCAACCGTAAATATAGAAATATAACGTATTGGATATATTTTCTATTTAAGTTAATGGTGGATGGACCGAATGGTCTGTCTGGAGTGATTGTCCAGAAACTTGCAGTGATGAGGACCTCATTAGGACTAGATCCTGTACAAACCCTTCTCCGGAAAATAACGGAACAGTTTGCCAAGGAAACACCTCGGAAACAATTTCATGTTCTACAGCAGAATGTCCAGGTAAGAAATACATAAAACGGAGTGTATGTTCAAGTAAATAGTTACCAATAAGGACAACCTTAAAGGAAATAGACTTGTTTTTTTAACAAATAATAAAATTACACTTACGACTGCTTACTTGACAGAATCCCTTTGTTATCACAAATTAAAAAAAGAAATTTCAATTTCATGTATAACAAACGTAATTGTTTTGGCACACAGGTTGTAAAAATGATATTACATATACCACAGCTTTTGCACGAAACACTCCATAAAGTACTCATAGGCAGGCGTGCTTAAAGACAATACTTTGTGAGTTCCATGATTTGGAGTTAGTCGTTTCAATTGCAACCTTAAAAATAGAAATATAACTTATTAGATATATTTTCTATTTAAGTGAATGGTGGATGGACCGAATGGTCAGTCTGGAGTGATTGTCCAGATACTTGCAGTGATGAGGACCTTATTAGGACTAGATCCTGCACAAATCCTTCTCCAGAAAATAACGGAACAGTTTGCCAAGGAAACACATCGGAAACAATTTCATGTTACACTGCAAAATGTCCAGGTAAGAAATACATCAAACGTAGTGCTTGTTTAGTTAAATAGTTATTATTAAGAAAAAGCTTAATACATTAAGAGATTTTTCAACAAATATGAAATTCAAAGCATGTTGTAAAATCACATTCACAAAGGGATAAAAAACTGATTCTTGATACTTTTAATGACCAATTAGGGTTAATTAAAGTTTTCAAGGTGATGTACGCATTTAGATAATATAGCATATATTGGAGTGAAAAATAAGAATCACATATATTCAAAATTGAGAAAGAGGTATTCGATCGATTCGAGACTTTTCTCCTATGTATGCTACAACAGTCCGCAATCGAAACCTCATAGAAAGATTAAAAATCTAAGATGGATAAACATAAAAATGATTGTTGTATGAAAAGTTGCGTTTGATGGCAATATACTGTACAATCTAACAAAGATATATTGTAATTTTTTAAACAGTGAATGGAGGATGGACAACTTGGACATCATGGACAAGCTGTCTGGAAACGTGTAATGGTGAAACTTTAAATCGTACCAGATCCTGCTCAAATCCAGCCTCTGAAAACAATGGGACAGAATGTCAAGGAAATGATATAGAGTTCATGTCGTGTCAAACAGCACAATGTCCAGGTATATAGTCAAACTATTTTTCTTTCAGTTTCACCCATATAAAATTAGGAATTTGGTAAGATTTTCATTAAATCAAGAATTAAATATATATAAACAATGAGGATATGAACAACTTTAAAGGATTTGACAGCTTTTCATAATTAACAAAATGCATACCGTTCATGAATTGTATAAAAAGTCGCTTGCATTTATTGAAATATACAACTTTTCAAAATGAGCAAAACGCTTACCGTTCAGTGGTCAAGACAAAACCTGTCCGCAATCAAAAATGTTTACGATGGACATACATGAATGTGATCGTTATATGACTGGATTAATTGAAGTAAGACAGAGAGTAACGATCTAATAAAGGCATGTTGATATTTATTTTCCAATAGTAAATGGAGGATGGTCAACTTGGACATTATGGACAAGCTGCCCGGAAACGTGCGATGATGAAACTTTAAATCGTACCAGATCATGCTCAAATCCGGCTTCTGAGAACAATGGAACAGATTGTCAGGGAAATTATATAGAGTTCATGTCTTGTCAAGCAGCACAATGTCCAGGTATATAACCACATTATTCTCCTAATAGTTTAACTTATTTAACAACTAGTAATTGTAGTATATTTGTAAATGAGGATATAAACAACTTTATTGAATTATACAAACTTTTATAATGAACAAAACACATACCGTATCACATACTGTTAACGGTCTCTGCATAAAAAAAGTGAAGTTAACTGGTCAAGTAAGAATTGCTGCAATCACAGTTAGGTAGAAAAGATAGTAGTAAGTTAGATGAACATAAATGAATTTGGTTTTAATATGACTGATTAAAATTGGGTCAGGCAAAACATTGAACAATCTAACAAAGACATGTTGATATTTATTTTAAACAGTGAATGGAGGATGGACAACTTGGACATCATGGACAAGCTGTCCGGAAACGTGCAATGGTGAAACTTTAAATCGTACCAGATCCTGTTCAAAACCAGCATCTGAAAACAATGGGACAGAATGTCAAGGAAATGATATAGAGTTCATTTCATGTCAAACAGCACAATGTCCAGGTAAGAAATACATAAAACCAGGTATATGTTTAAGTAAATAGTTACCAATAAGGACAACCTTAAAGGAAATAGACTTGTTCTTTTAACAAATGTGAAAATTACATTTACAACTGCTAACTTGACAGAATCCCGTTGTTATCACAAATTAAAAAAAGAAATTTCAATTTCATGTATAACAAAAGTAATTGTTTGACATACAGTTTGAAAAAATGATATTACATATACCACAGCTTTTGCACGAAACACTCAATAAAGTACTCATAGGCAGGCGTGCTTAAAGACGTTACTTTGTGAGTTCCATGCCATTGTTTTATCTGGAGTTAGTCGTTTCAATTCCAACCTTAAAAATAGAAATATAACTTATTGTATATATTTTCTATTTAAGTTAATGGTGGATGGACCGAATGGTCTGTCTGGAGTGATTGTCCAAAAACTTGCACGGATGAGGACCTTATTAGGACTAGATCCTGCACAAATCCTTCTCCAGAAAATAACGGAACAGTTTGCCAAGGAAACACATCGGAAACAATTTCATGTTACACTGCAAAATGTCCAGGTAAGAAATACATCAAACGTATTGCTTGTTTAGTTAAATAGTTATTATTAAGAAAAAGCTTAATACATTAAGAGATTTTTCAACAAATATGAAATTCAAAGCATGTTGTAAAATCACATTCACAAAGGGATAAAAAACTGATTCTTGATACTTTTAATGACCAATTAGGGTTAATTAAAGTTTTCAATGTGATGTACGCATTTAGATAATATAGCATATATTGGAGTAAAAAATAAGAATCACATATATTCAAAATTGAGAAAAAGGTATTCGATCGATTCGCGACTTTTCTCCTATGTATGCTACAACAGTCCGCAATCGAAACCTCATAGAAAGATTAAAAATCTAAGATGGATAAACATAAATATGATTGTTGTATGAAAAGTTGAGTTTGATGGCAATATACTGTACAATGTAACAAAGATATATTGTAATTTTTTTAACAGTGAATGGAGGGTGGACAACTTGGACATCATGGACAAGCTGTCCGGAAACGTGCAATGGTGAAACTTTAAATCGTACCAGATCCTGCTCAAATCCAGCCTCTGAAAACAATGGGACAGAATGTCAAGGAAATGATATAGAGTTCATGTCGTGTCAAACAGCACAATGTCCAGGTATATAGTCAAACTATTTTTCTTTCAGTTTCACCCATATAAAATTAGGAATTTGGTAAGATTTTCATTAAATCAAGAATTAAATATATATAAACAATGAGGATATGAACAACTTTAAAGGATTTGACAGCCTTTCATAATTAACAAAATGCATACCGTTCATGAATTGTATAAAAGTCGCTTGCATTTATTGAAATATACAACTTTTCATAATGAGCAAAACGCTTACCGTTCAGTGGTCAAGAAAAAACCTGTCCGCAATCAAAAATGTTTACGATGGACTTACATGAATGTGATCGTTATGTGACTGGGTTAATTGAAGTTAGACAGAGAGTTACGATCTAATAAAGGCATGTTGATATTTATTTTCCAATAGTAAATGGAGGATGGTCAACTTGGACATCATGGACAAGCTGCCCGGAAACGTGCGATGATGAAACTTTAAATCGTACCAGATCATGCTCAAATCCGGCTTCTGAGAACAATGGAACAGATTGTCAGGGAAATTATATAGAGTTCATGTCTTGTCAAGCAGCACAATGTCCAGGTATATAACCACATTATTCTCCTCTTAGTTAAACTTATTTAACAACTAGGAATTGTAGTATATTTGTAATTGAGGATATAAACAACTTTATTGAATTATACAAACTTTTATAATAAACAAAACACATACCGTATCACGTACTGTTAACGGCCTCTGCATAACAAAAGTGAAGTTAATTGGTCAAGTAAGAACTGTCCGTCATCACAACTTGATAGAAAAGATGATAAAAACTAAGGTGGACAAACATGAATGTGATTGATACATGACTAATTCAATATGAGTGAGACAAGACATTAAACATTATTAAAATTATATTGAAATTATTTATAAACAGTGAATGGAGGATGGACAACTTGGACATCATGGACAAGCTGTCCGGAAACGTGTAACGATGAAACCTTAAATCGTACCAGATCATGCTCAAATCCGGCTTCTGAGAACAATGGAACAGATTGTCAGGGAAATTATATAGAGTTCATGTCTTGTCAAGCAGCACAATGTCCAGGTATATAACCATATTATTCTCCTAATAGTTTAACTTATTTAACAACTAGTAATTGTAGTTTATTTGTAAATGAGGATATAAACAACTTTATTGAATTATACAAACTTTTATAATGAACAAAACACATACCGTATCACATACTGTATACGGTCTCTGCATAACAAAAGTGAAGTTAACTGTTCAAGTAAGAATTGCTGCAATCACAGTTAGGTAGAAAAGATAGTAGTAAGTTAGATGAACATAAATGAATTTGGTTTTAATATGACTGATTAAAATTGGGTCAGGCAAAACATTGAACAATCTAACAAAGACATGTTGATATTTATTTTAAACAGTGAATGGAGGATGGACAACTTGGACATCATGGACAAGCTGTCCGGAAACGTGCAATGGTGAAACTTTAAATCGTACCAGATCATGTTCAAAACCAGCATCTGAAAACAATGGGACAGAATGTCAAGGAAATGATATAGAGTTCATGTCATGTCAAACAGCACAATGTCCAGGTAAGAAATACATAAAACCGAGTATATGTTTAAGTAAATAGTTACCAATAAGGACAACCTTAAAGGAAATAGACTTGTTCTTTTAACAAATGTGAAAATTACATTTACAACTGCTAACTTGACAGAATCCCGTTGTTATCACAAATTAAAAAAAGAAATTTCAATTTCATGTATAACAAAAGTAATTGTTTGGCATACAGTTTGAAAAAATGATATTACATATACCACAGCTTTTGCACGAAACACTCAATAAAGTACTCATAGGCAGGCGTGCTTAAAGACGATACTTTGTGAGTTCCATGCCATTGTTTTATCTGGAGTTAGTCGTTTCAATTTCAACCTTAAAAATAGAAATATAACTTATTGTATATATTTTCTATTTAAGTTAATGGTGGATGGACCGGATGGTCTGTCTGGAGTGATTGTCCAGAAACTTGCACTGATGAGGACCTTATTAGGACTAGATCCTGCACAAATCCTTCTCCAGAAAATAACGGAACAGTTTGCCAAGGAAACACATCGGAAACAATTTCATGTTACACTGCAAAATGTCCAGGTAAGAAATACATCAAACGTATTGCTTGTTTAGTTAAATAGTTATTATTAAGAAAAAGCTTAATACATTAAGAGATTTTTCAACAAATATGAAATTCAAAGCATGTTGTAAAATCACATTCACAAAGGGATAAAAAACTGATTCTTGATACTTTTAATGACCAATTAGGGTTAATTAAAGTTTTCAATGTGATGTACGCATTTAGATAATATAGCATATATTGGAGTAAAAAATAAGAATCACATATATTCAAAATTGAGAAAAAGGTATTCGATCGATTCGAGACTTTTCTCCTATGTATGCTACAACAGTCCGCAATCGAAACCTCATAGAAAGATTAAAAATCTAAGATGGATAAACATAAATATGATTGTTGTATGAAAAGTTGAGTTTGATGGCAATATACTGTACAATGTAACAAAGATATATTGTAATTTTTTTAACAGTGAATGGAGGGTGGACAACTTGGACATCATGGACAAGCTGTCCGGAAACGTGCAATGGTGAAACTTTAAATCGTACCAGATCCTGCTCAAATCCAGCCTCTGAAAACAATGGGACAGAATGTCAAGGAAATGATATAGAGTTCATGTCGTGTCAAACAGCACAATGTCCAGGTATATAGTCAAACTATTTTTCTTTCAGGTCCACCCATATAAAATTAGGAATTTGGTAAGATTTTCATTAAATCAAGAATTAAATATATATAAACAATGAGGATATGAACAACTTTAAAGGATTTGACAGCCTTTCAAAATTAACAAAATGCATACCGTTCATGAATTGTATAAAAGTCGCTTGCATTTATTGAAATATACAACTTTTCATAATGAGCAAAACGCTTACCGTTCAGTGGTCAAGAAAAAACCTGTCCGCAATCAAAAATGTTTACGATGGACTTACATGAATGTGATCGTTATGTGACTGGGTTAATTGAAGTTAGACAGAGAGTTAGGATCTAATAAAGGCATGTTGATATTTATTTTCCAATAGTAAATGGAGGATGGTCAACTTGGACATCATGGACAAGCTGCCCGGAAACGTGCGATGATGAAACTTTAAATCGTACCAGATCATGCTCAAATCCGGCTTCTGAGAACAATGGAACAGATTGTCAGGGAAATTATATAGAGTTCATGTCTTGTCAAGCAGCACAATGTCCAGGTATATAACCACATTATTCTCCTCTTAGTTTAACCTATTTAACAACTAGGAATTGTAGTATATTTGTAATTGAGGATATAAACAACTTTATTGAATTATACAAACTTTTATAATGAACAAAACACATACCGTATCACGTACTGTTAACGGCCTCTGCATAACAAAAGTGAAGTTAATTGGTCAAGTAAGAACTGTCCGTCATCACAACTTGATAGAAAAGATGATAAAAACTAAGGTGGACAAACATGAATGTGATTGATACATGACTAATTCAGTATGAGTGAGACAAGACATTAAACATTATTAAAATTATATTGAAATTATTTATATACAGTGAATGGAGGATGGACAACTTGGACATCATGGACAAGCTGTCCGGAAACGTGTAACGATGAAACCTTAAATCGTACCAGATCATGCTCAAATCCAGCCTCTGTAAACAATGGGACAGATTGCCAGGAAAATGATATAGAGTTTATGTCTTGTCAAGCAGCACAATGTCCAGGTATGTTACCAAGTTATTTCCCTTTTAGTTTAACTTATATACCAAGTACAAATTGTGGTATCTTGGTCAATAAAAGAAGAACTCATTTTAGTGAAAGAATGAGGATATAAAAACATTATTGGTTGATACAACCTTTCATAATGAGCAAAATGCATACCGTATCACAAACTGTAAGCGGCCTTCGCATAACAAAAGTGAAGTTAACTGGTCAAGTCAGAATTGCTGCAATCACAGTTAGGTAGAAAAGATAGTAGTAAGTAAGATGAACATAAATGAATTTGGTTTTAATATGACTGATTAAAATTGGGTCAGGCAAAACATTGAACAATCTAACAAAGACATGTTGATATTTATTTTAAACAGTGAATGGAGGATGGACAACTTGGACATCATGGACAAGCTGTCCGGAAACGTGCAATGGTGAAACCTTAAGTCGTACCAGATCCTGCTCAAACCCAGAGTCTGAAAACAATGGGACAGATTGCCAGGGAAATGATATAGAGTATATTTCTTGTCAAGCAGCACAATGTCCAGGTAACTAGCCAAACTATTTTTCATTTAGTTTAATCTATATAACAACTAGGAATTGTGGTATATTTGTCAATGATACAAAAAACTAATTATAGTGAAAGAATGAGGATATGAACAACTTTATTGAATTATACAACCTTTCATAATGAGCAAAACACTTACCGTTCATAAATTGTAAAAATCCGCTTGCTTTACTAGAATTAAGTTCAGTGGTCAGGTAAAAACTGTCCGCCATCAAACTTGATAGATTTACGATGAACATAAATGAATGTAATTGTTATATGACTGGGTCAATTGAAGTTAGACAGAGTGTTACAATCTAACAAAGGCATGTTGATATTTATTTTCCAATAGTGAATGGACAATGGTCAACTTGGACATCATGGACAAGTTGTCCGGAAACTTGTAATGATGAATATCTAAATCGTACCAGATCATGCTCAAATCCGGCTTCTGAGAACAATGGAACCGAATGCCAAGGAAATGATATAGAGTTCAAGTCATGTCAAACAGCACAATGTCCAGGTAAATTACCAATTTATTTTACTATTAGTTTCAGTTATATAAGAAATCTGAATTGTGGTATAAATGTCAATGACGGAAAATCTCAATACAGAGAAAGTATGCAAACGTAAACAAATTCATCACGTTATATAACCTTGCAAAATGAGCAAAACTTATATCATATAATAAACTGTTTTATTAAAGTGGGACATTTAATGACTTGATTAGAAAAAAGTGATTCGGAGAGGAAAAATACACTCATGGGACAAGATTAGGATAAGAAGGAAAATACGCTTATAGGATGAAATTTGGAAAAAAAGGAAAAATGCACTCATGGGATAAAATTCCGGTAAAAAGGAAAAATACACTCATGGGATAAGATTAGGATAAGGAAAAATACACTCATGGAATAAAATTCGGATACGAAGGAGAAATATATTCATGGGATAAGATTCGGATAAGGAAAAAAACCACTAATGGGATAAGATTCGGATAGCAAAGAAAATACACTAATAGGAAAGGATTCCGATAAAAAGGGAAAATACACTCATCAGATAAGACTAAGATAAGGAAAAATGCATCTAAGGGATAGAAAGTGGGTAAAAAGGAAAAATACATTGATGGGATAAGATTCGGATAAAAAGAAAACAAAACGCACTCATGGGATAAGATTCAGATAAGGAAAGATACATTCATGGGATAAGATTCGGATACAAAGAAAAAAACGCATTCATTGGATAAGAATCGGATAAGGAAAAATACACTCATGGGATAAAAAATCGGATACGAAGGAGAAATACATTTATGGACTAAGATTCGGAAAATGAAAAATAAATTAATCGGATAAGATTCGGATAAAAAGGAAAAATATACACACATGGGATAAGATTCGGATAATGAAAAATACACTAATGGGATAGGATTTGGATAAGAAGGAAAACAATCATTCATGGAGAAAGATTCGGATAAGGAAAACTGCACTCTTGGGATGAGATTCGAATAAAAAGGAAAAATTCACTCATGGGATAAGATTCGAATAAGATTGCACTTCTCAAATCTAAAGCTATATACAAAAACAAATAAATAAAAATTTTTTATACATATAAAGATAAATATTAAAAAAACGAGTAATAATTTAACAGTTTGATCATCATATTTTCTGATTGTTTTGGTTTACTGAGTTAAGCATTGTTTTTCTACACGAAAATACGATTGCAAGATATAAATAATTTAAACACATGTATAATGCAACATTGAGATTCAAAAACATTCTTAATATTAAAAATATAAATGGTTAAATTGAATTAAAAATTGAAAAATTGAAAAAAGTAGCAACCAATCTTCAAACTTCTATAATGTATCTTTACGACTGCTACTTACGATCCTTTACGAAAGGTTATTTAGCTAATATGCAATCAATTCCATCTTACTATCCTTTACGATAGATAATTTAGCTAATATGCAATCAATTCCATCTTACTATCCTTTACGATAGATAATTTAGCTAATCTGCAATCAATTCCATCTTACGATCCTTTACGATAGATAATTTAGCTAATCTGCAATCAATTCCATCTTGCGATCCTTTACGATAGATAATTTAGCTAATCTGCAATCAATTCCATCTTACGATCCTTTACGATAGATATTTTAGCTAATCTGCAATCAATTCCATCTTACGATCCTTTACGATAGATATTTTAGCTAATCTGCAATCAATTCCATCTTACGATCCTTTACGATAGATATTTTAGCTAATCTGCAATCAATTCCATCTTACGATTCTTTACGATAGATAATTTAGCTAATCTTCAATCAATTCCATCTTACGATTCTTTACGATAGAAAGTTTAGCTAATCTTCAATCAATTCCATCTTACGATCCTTTACGATAGATAATTTAGCTAATCTGCAATCAATTCCATCTTACGATCGTTTATGATAGATAATTTAGCTAATCTGCGAACAATTCCATCTTACGATCCTTTGCGATAGATAATTTAGCTAATCTGCAATTAATTCCATCTTACGATTCTTTACGATAGAAAGTTTAGCTAATCTTCAATCAATTCCATCTTACGATCCTTTACGATAGAAAGTTTAGCTAATCTACAATCAATGCCATCGTCATGCCTAATATATTATGTACTGTGTTACAACTCTAGATGCTACCGACGAGGAAAGGTAACACTAGGCCACCGAAAGCTGAATTGTTAGTTCTGTCTAGGTGGCTGCGTGGTCTAGAGCACTTAAAACAGTGCAGGCGGTGTTGTCTTGATTTCCCAATAGCATGAGTTCGAATCCCAGCGAGGGAAGAACAAAATGTTTTATTTAAATCAATTGTGTATATAGTTATATAATATATTGTTACATCTGATCATTTTATTAAGTGAATGGAAACTGGACATCATGGTCATCTTGGAGTGATTGTCCTGACAACTGCGACGGAGAGATTTTGTCGAGAAGGAGAAATTGTACAAACCCTATGCCACAAAATGGCGGGAAATACTGCATTGGAAATGAAACAGACACGGCCTCATGTGAAGCCCTTGGATGTCCATGCATAGGTAAAGAACAATTTATTAGTAGGAAATCGATTAATTAGTTCTGTATGAAGACATTGTGGCAACTAATACTGATTTGTAAGTTAAGGGATATTTCTATTTGTGCTATATAATTGACATGATAATGATTAAAAGGGATGATAATTGTAATTTCATAATTATATGAGGCAACGCGTTTCTTTTCAAACCAAAAACTAACAAGGAACCTGTAGTTCAGTGGTTGTCGATGGTTCTTGTCTTTCATTTTTGTTTTTCCTAAAATTGTATTTTTAGGCTGTTGAAATCTCAATTGCATTGCTTCTTATTTTTCATGTCGGGGCCTTTTATGGCCGACTATGCGTTATGGGTTTTTTCATTGTTAAAGGTCGTACGGTTGCCCCAATAATTATCTAACTCCACTTTATTTGAACTATTTGGTGGAAAGTTGTCTCATTGGCAATCACACAAATTCTCCCTATTTTCAAACAAATTATCAAACATATTTTTACATAACAGTTGATGGAGGATGGTCATCGTGGTCATCCTGGAGTGCTTGTCCATACAGCTGTCACGGACACGTATTGTTAAGGGAGAGAACTTGTACAAACCCTGTACCGACAAATGGCGGGACATATTGCACTGGGAATGATACAGACACGACCTCGTGTGAATCTCAAGGATGTCCATGCAAAGGTAAAAAATGATTTGTAGAAAATTACTAAATTATAATCACTTTTTCTTTCTTTATGTATACGTCGTATCAACCAATACTGATTTGTTGGGAATGGATAGCTTCTAGTTCTTTTCGTGTTAAAATTGCTGCAATAATGGTTAAAAAAGATGTAGAAAATGGTCAAGCAGATGACAAAATGTTTTTTCCGGATTCAGATTTTCCCCATACCTTATAGTGTTAAATTTTAGAAATAAATAATTTGATTGATAGCGTCAAAAAAACTAGAAAAAATGTTATGAAGTTAAATGGTTGTTCCCTACGTAAGAACTGTTATAACAAGACAACCACTAATCGGAAGTATAATCAAAGCTCTTTTTTGCAACTATTTGATGTTTATATTCATATATTTCAGGCTATATTAACTTGGGTATGTATAACTTTAATTTTTAAGATATACAAATGTTTGTGAACTATAAAACTGTCACAGTGGTTAATGTGTCATACTTATATAAAAATATAAGAGATGTATGAAAAATAAACGGTACTTTAACTATTACATTAGGATTTTTATCGACTACTGAAAAACTTAAAACCACAGAATCAGAAAAAGTAATAGAGAGGCGAACGATACCAAAAACATATTCAAACTCATAAGTCGAAAAATAACCCGACAAACCGACACTGCATTGCAAACAAAAAAATAGTAACTAATTAAATCTGTTTACAAAATGACAAGTCGGCTTTTGAGAATTATCTTTTTATTTGTGAGACTGCAATACGGAGTAAATATAGACATATCTATGTAAGGTAGTATAAGGAATTCGAGTGAAACCTATAGAATTGCATACTGTAAAGGATAGAACAATGACTACCTTCAATAAGGTGGTGTATGAAATAAACGTAGAAAATGAGTGTTAAAACGTTATCTAGTTGACAGCTGCGGTTTATTCCACTTGCTCCGGAATGATTTTTATGTATAATTGTACAGCTTTAAGTAAGTAAAAAATTGTGTAAATTTATATTTTTGTATGTATGATTCTGATCAAAGAATCATTTCTGAAGAAAGTCATCTATGATTGTTCTGGTTACTGATATGGTTAGTAAACAGTACATTGCAATTAAACATACACATCTTGGTGCAATAGAAATAGACAGGAAATGCGAAATATAAATAAAAGTACCATGATTGAAAAAACATATTTATATCTGCTAACCGAGACGAGACCCTGTGCTTGAAATCCGTACTTTCATAAATGAAAAGCAGGTAACAGGTATGGCGATATTAAAGCGTTGTTTCTTTACTTTTTGTGTTCTACTGTACGTGCACCGAATTTGTGTCATGAATGGATAACTGAAAGCGGTCATTCTATCAGTTTTTTTTTTTATCATTAAACAATTACCTAATGCATGAATCTTTATTGCATTAGCAACAACATTGTTTTAGTAAAATAACACGGTATATACATATATGACAAATATGACAGAATACAGAGAACAATGAAATAATGCAGAGATGGCTTAAAATATAACACATACATTTGTACAACATTTAAACTGATAATTTGCGATCTTAATTTCAATACCGCCTTTAAATAATTACATAATTTCTTTGTTAAGCTTTTTGACTCAGCTTGTGAAAAACAAGATAACGTTCATGGTTTTGGGCATGAACGATAATGTTCTGGCAAATCAACACAAAATGATATTAGGGATGTTCGCTAGTCTGTTTCAAAATAACAATCTTTTTAAAAGACTGTTCCAAAATGAGAGTATATAAATAAAGGAACAAAAAAAAAAAGCAGAAAAAAATTAAGGGTCCGTGTGCATGTTTTCGAGATAGAGTTTTCATACTTTTAACATTGGTCGCTTTTTAGTTTCAAAAACTATGAAAAAAAACAAGGATTTTAGGGGTTAGCAGGCAAAAATTCCTTAATGACAATACATAGATAAAACCAAAGGATTCCGAAAATCTGGCAAAAATACAAAAACAAGAGGAGCAAACATCCTTAATCTTCAATATTGATGATAGGAGATACGTCAGGTTACTTTTGAAATCGAGTAAAGAAAGTGTAGATAAACCAACTATTTATTTATTATATAGACGGTCTTCATTATCAGAAATATCATTCATAAGGTGATATATAGTTGCCTTAGCTTATATACGTCATTGTGCGTCTAGTGAATGGTTGTCTCATTGGCAGTCATATCCAATCCTATTATCTTATGTGATTAAAGGTTCAGTTTTTGTTTATTTTAGATAATGATTTACAAACATACATTTAAATGAACTTTGGGAAAATTCAAGACACCAACGTTTTACGTTTTCTCCACCGAAAGTCATATTTTCCAAATAAAAGGTCTATCTAACAACCAACGTTTTATGTTTTCTCCAACAGAAGTCATGGTTTCCAAATAAAAGGTCTATTTAAGGATGTATTCTTCTGACGTTTCAGTCTCGTTGAAATCTCGTTCTGGAATTATTTCCAAAACATGTGATACAAGAGGAAAATATCAATGAATTTTAAAAATTTTATAATTAAACTTAACTCTGTGAAAAAATTGTGTATTTACAATAATTAGTTTTTGAGTAATCAATTTTTCAAATTTTACGACCAATAAAGTCAGTCTTTTTAGCCAAAATTTTGAGAAAATGGGTGAGGGGTACAAAAAATGATTTTAACAGATTCATGTATATCCCATATCATTTTTATTTTTTTCAAATTTCTTAGATATGTATTTTTTCAATCATTTAAAACAAAAAAGTTGAAATAATATGCATTGTGTTCTTAAAACTGAAAAAAATCACAAATTTACAAATTGACAGTATGGTAAATTTGACACATAAAACCATCAAAATATGATAAAACTTTCTTATATTAACACCTACCTATAGTTTTTTTAGTTAAATTTATTCAGATTGGTCCACTTTATCTTTATTGAAAATTGTGGAATTGTGATTTTTTCACGATAATAGCCCAAAAATAGGTAAAAATTGATGAAAAATGGGAAAACCAGCAAAATTGGATACTTTCAAATGGCTGTAGCAAAAAAAAAGAAGTGCACCACCATAAGATTTTTTCTTCACCAATTATCTTTTTACAATCATATAAACCCAAAAATCAGGTTAAAAAAAAAAGTTTAATTCTAGGAATTTTTGGCTCCTCAGAGGTGTACATCCTTAACAACCAACGTTTTATGTTTCGTTTCAGATATGGGAAGTGGCTTCACGAGATTAAACCTCAACTGGAAACTGTTTGGAGTTCTAACTGCAGTATTATTTGTGTGGAGATAATGATTTGTATCTAATGTTGGATGTTTTTGGTGGTAAAACTGACATTTGAAGAACAACCTAACCTGTATATTGACATATATCACACAGGAACACAATAAGCATGTGTTGGCAAATGTAAATCCAAAAAGTGTTGATGGAAACATGTAAGACCGGAAGACACTTTTCTTTCGATTCATCATTATTGTATCACAATTGAATATTTTTCGAAAGTGTCATGGAAGCATTGCTAATGTATTTTTTTGGCCCCCAAACAAAAGAACTGGAACTTTTTTGTTAATAATCATATGCTTTAAGGATGTTCGGTACTCTGTTTCAAAATAACAAGCTTTTTAAAAGAATGTTATCAATTGATAGTATATAAATACAGGGACTAAAAAAGTAGAATAAATGAAAGGTCCGTGTGCTTGTTATTGGAGATTTAAGTCATTGAAAATTTGGCGGGAAATAATTCTCTCTAGACTTTTCTTTCATTTAATATTGGCACCCTTTTTCTTACAAAAAATATGAAAAAATAACAAGTATTTTATAAGATTTTCAAATATGGCTTTTTAATTTATATATGATAAAATAATGAAATGAAATAGGGGTTAGCGGGGAACATTTTTTAATGGTACTAAATGGATAAAACCAGAGGATTCCGAATATCTGGCAAATTTAAAAAACAAGAGAAGCGAACATCCTTAAATCATCAAAATTTTAGACAGGTCTTATGAACAAACATAAACTCCTATTACTGGTAGTTTTTTTTAGGGTTTTGAAATTATTGAAGAAATTCAAAGTTTTAATTGTTTAGCCAAAATATGCGTAACCTCTGCATTTCTTTATTTATAGGTCAAACGCAGAGAAGTTTTATATTGTAAATACAATCACTATATTGCTGTACATTTTGTTTTTTCATCATTCATGTTTTATTTTTAAAGGGGCTATGTACTAGACAAAAAAATAAAAGATCGTGTTGACTTTATTTTATTATTTCAATCATTTTTTAAAGCGGAATGTAAAATTTATATTTCACTTGTAGAAGTCGGTTTGGTCAATTTCGTCAAATTAAGCTAAATTGAAACCTCGACCAAGGTAATATTGGGTTGAAAGTCAACAATTTATCCTCATTTGAATCCGTATTTATGTAACTTTTATATAACCTTCATTGGACTTAGGTGCGTATGTGTTCAGCATGTGGTTCATTCATTAAAACGAAAAAAAAATGTCAACACAGCCGAATAATGAAACAAGAGAGACATGATATACATATGTTATTAATCTTTAACACGACATTTACAGTAGTAAATCAAACAGACCTAAAATCTCGTCAATATACGACTGCACGAGCTTGAAGCTCTATTTCTATTTCTACTTTTATATCGGGTTATATGACTGTCGGTGGTCTTCGGAAGTCATCCCCATTACTCACGAAATTCTGATACATATATCCATCTGATGAGTTAAGCCTTTTTCAACTGATTTTTGTAGTTCGTTCTTATGTTGTACTGTTACACCACTGTCACAGGTAAGGGGAAGGGTTGGGATCCCGCTAACATAATTAAAGCCGTCACATTCTGTATGTATGTGTCTGTCCCAAGTCAGGAGCCTGTAAATCAGAGGATGTCGTTTGTTGCTGTGTTAAATATTTGTTTTTCTTTCATTTTTTTTTGTACATAAATTAGGCTGTTAGTTTTCTCGTTTATTTTGATTTACGATATTTCATATTTGTCATTTCGGGCCATTTTATAGCTGACTATGCGGTATTGGCCTTGCTCAATGTTGAATGTCGTATGGTGACCTATAGTTGTTAATTTCTTTGTCATTTGGTCTCTTGAGAAAAGTTGTCTCATTGACAATAATACTATATTTTCTTTTCCATATTTATCTGTTCTTTTTAGACTTTTTGTAATCTGAATATACGTTTATCAAATATGAGAACTTGGGTCAAATCGGTAAATGTGAAATTGACAGTTAATGCTCATTCTGTGTATATACATGTACAAGGTGTTTTTGTTGTTCTGTACATATTGGCTTCTGTAAAAAAAAATGTATCTGTTATAATTGTTTTGTATATTTGTATGCATATAAAAATATGTACATTTAATAATGAATTGAATTATATACACCGGTTAGCTCATTGATAATTAGCTATCTCGACATTTAACAAGGCATAATGTACTAAAATACTTTTAGTTTTATATTGTATTATTTTAAATTTCATTGTTCAATTTTGAGAATACAAATAAAATGTATGCAGTTGGCGCATAAACCAACTTTGTTCTGCAGCTCATGGAGTGCATTTATTTTCCACTCTCTCTTAAACCCATTAGAGAATGGTTAATTTATTCCCCCTGTCTCTAAAACCCATTAGAGAATGGTTCATTCATGCCCCCTCTCTCTAAAACCATTTACAGAATGGTTCATTTATTCCCCCTGTCTCTAAAATCCATTAGAGAATGGTTCATCCATTCCCCCTCTCTCTAAAACCCATTAGAGAATGGTTCATTTATTCTCCCCTCTCTCTAAAACCCATTAGAGAATGGTTCATACTATTCATTAATGAAGAGCGGCAAATGAACTTTTTTTATTGTTGTCTTTATTCATATATGTTTGTCTTTTGTGCTTTGCTTTCTTTGTCTGCTTTGTAAGGTTTTGTATCTATTAATTTGTGTATTTGCCTTGATTATGTATGTAATCTGTTTATACTTATATCTGTCCAATTGACAAATAAATGATTAACATGCTGTCTGTATTTTTTTTTTATATTTTGCTATTTTGGTAATTAATTATTGAGGTATTGATTGCCTTCGGTTATTGTAGACATACAAATTTAGACTGGTTCCCTGTTCTTTGTCTGTTTGGCTCTGATAGATATTGACAAACAGAGTGACTCAGATACCCGTATGTTGCGTTGCAAGGAAGAGAACCATATTATGGATCAATTCAAATCGTAAAAGCACTGTCTTGTTTATTTTAATTACCAATTTCTGACTGTCTTTTTGTTTATGGAAAATGAGATTTAGGCTGTATAAACCAATGAGACAACAACACAAACACCAAACAACTTGATATATGTGCTTTAATCAATAAGGTTTACACAAAATGTCAAGCTTTGAGTAGTTCTGAGTCTTGCAAAGTAGTAAATAAATTCAACAAAATATATTAGACATCTTCTATTAACACAACACTCTGTAAGAAAAAAATGGATATAGAAAAAACAACCAATATAGAAAATCATTAGTGAAATTCCAAATTTTCGACAGGCACGTGATGCTCATCAATCTGGATCAATAGAATATACCAAAAAGTAATTTGTTAAAAACATACTATAAAAATAAGCATTTTCAGAAAAAAAAAACATTTCGATTCCATTGGCAAAATAGATTAAAAGAAAAAAAGAAAAAACATAAAGACTAGTACAAACATAAAGACACAGACATCAACAATAAATATTATTTCAGGATTCTCATAGTTACTGGGAGAAATCTTACTAAAATTTCAGATACGAAATCATGTCATCCTAAATTCCAATAGAAACTTCGCTCTAAAGCAACGTCACAAAAGTACAGGTAGACACAATTTTGTGCAATACCCACATAAAGGCCATGTAGAACTGTCAACAGAAATGTTTAATCTGAATCCAACCAATAGCATTTATCCCAAAGTTACCAGTAACAATTATCTAAACGTTATTAAACTAAAACAAAATATAAAAAAAAAAAACAATTTTAAAGTTTTTTATGAATTATATGGCCGCAATAGCTGGGAATGAAATGAAACTTTTGATCACTGAAGAACAAATACTGCAGGCAGAATCTTACTTCCTAAATGGTAATCTGTATTGTTTCTAAAAAAAAATGTATCATGCTCTTTAGACAGTTATGCGACTGGAACTAAATTATGTCACGTAAACAAATATAAAAAGGAAGATGTGGTATGATTGCCAATGAGACAACTCTTCACAAGAGACCAAATGATACAGACATTAACAACTATAGGTAACCGTACGGCCTTCAACGATGAACAAAGCCCATACCGCATAGTAAGCTATTAAAGGCCCCGAAATGACATATGTAAAACAATTCAAACGAGAAAACTAACGGCCTAATTTATGTAAAAAAAAATCTGTTATTATGTCTGTTTGGGATGTTCACCCAATTTTGACAAAAGAACAGAACTGTAAACAAGTCTCATACAAGTCTGAGGTTTAGCTAGCTATAAAACTAGGTTTAACCCACAATTTCCTGTACCAAGTCAAGAATATGGCAGATGTTTTCCATTCCGTTGGTTGGTACAGTAGAGCGTTTGATTCTGTCCGGTTTTAGGGATTTTCCCGCTTTTGAATTTACCTTGGAGTTCAGTATCTCTTTTAATTTTTTTTTGTGAACTGTGCCTTTAGTTGACGAAACGATTTTAATTGTTTAAACTATACATGTTACAAGAAAAGAAAACATGTGAATCGAACAACAAGATTCCTAACATAATCTGTCCGACAATTGATTATTTGAATTCAGTGACTTTTTGAAATAGGTTGGTCTGCTTCAAATCTTGACAGGACTTAGAAATCAATTAGTTAAGTGTCAAAAACGTCAATTGAAGACAGAAGAGTGTGTAAACATTAATGATATAAGAAGGTATCGAGGAGCAAATAAAAAGGACATCACCATTGCCAAAAAAAAGAAAAAAAAAAGAGAGGAGAATATTTAATTTAGAACTGAGTTTAGTATCAGTGAAGAATTTTACTGTTACTGTTACTGTACTTTTAATTTATCCTGCAATCCACCTTCCTACTATGCAAATACAGGTGTACAGATAAAACAAACCGATCTACGAATAATCTAGATACAGTTCAATTTGGGGTCCTCATTGCGGTCCGCGTCTAGATCCTGTAGAGTTCATTCAAAAATAATTTCAACGCTAGGCAGTAAGAAGATTCCAAACGTTTAAGTGTAAATGTAAACTTGCTAGATGAAAACATGCGTTTCGTACATTGTAGGAAATTATTGAATGTATTTGTATTTGCTACAAGAAAGGAGAACAGCTCGGCAAGCCTCGCTTTTCTATCTATAACTTATGGTCGTACACATAAACTTTATATTTTCCTACAACGAACGAATGTTGTATATTAATTTTTAAGATGGTATATTGTATAGGATATAATGTACTCTTGCTAGAACAATATCTCTCTTGTTCTCTCACTCTCTCTCTCTCTCTTACAGTAGATGTCTTGGGCTCTGCTCTCTCACTCTCTCTCTCTTACAGTAGATGTCTTGGGCTCTGCTCTCTCACTCTCTCTCTCTTACAGTAGATGTCTTGGGCTCTGTTCTCTCACTCTCTATCTTACAATAGATTTCTTGGGCTCTCTCACTCTCCCTCTTGCAGTAGATGTCTTGGGCTCTGCTCTCTCACTCTCTCTTACAGTAGATGTCTTGGGCTCTGTTCTCTCACACTCTCTCTTACAGTAGATGTCTTGGGCTCTGTTCTTTCGCTCTCTCTTTTACAGTAGATGTCTTGGACTCTCTCGCTCTCTCTCTTACAGTAGATGTCTTGGGCTCTGCTCTCTCACTCTCTCTCTTACAGTAGCTGTCTTGGGCTCTCTCACTCTCTCTCTTACAGTAGATGTCTTGGGCTCTGCTCTCTCACTCTCTCTCTTACAGTAGATGTCTTGGGCTCTGTTCTCTCACTCTCTCTCTTACAGTAGATGTCTTGGGCTCTCTCACTCACTATATTACAGTAGATGTCTTGGGCTTTCTCATTCTCTCTCTTACAGTAAAAGTCTTGGGCTCTCTCACTCTCTCTCTCTTACAGTAGATGTCTTGGGCTCAAAGTAAACGATTCGTGTACCAGATAGAAACGATACGTAGGACAATCCCCTGCACTTTTTGCAAACTTAAAAAACGTTACATGAGAAAAAAATGCTACAATCGCAGGTGTGAAATACAATATCTCTCTTGTTCTCTCACACTCTCTCTCTTACAGTAGATGTCTTGGGCTCTGCTCTCTCACTCTCTCTCTTACAGTAGATGTCTTGGGCTCTGCTCTCTCACTCTCTCTCTTACAGTAGATGTCTTGTGCTCTGTTCTCTCACTCTCTATCTTACAACAGATGTCTTGGGCTCTCTTACTCTCTCTCTCTCTCTTACAGTAGATGTCTTGGGCTCTGCTCTATCTCTTACAGTAGATGTCTTGGGCTCTGTTCTCTCACTCTCTCTCTTACAGTAGATGTCTTGGGCTCTGTTCTCTCACTCTCTCTCTTACAGTAGATGTCTTGGACTCTCTCGCTCTCTCTCTTAGAGTAGATGTTTTGGGCTCTGCTCTCTCACTCTCTCTCTTACAGTAGATGTCTTGGGCTCTCTCACTCTCTCTCTTACAGTAGATGTCTTGGGCTCTGCTCTCTCACTCCCTCTCTTACAGTAGATGTCTTGGGCTCTATTCTCTCACTTCCTCTCTTACAGTAGATGTCTTGGGATCTGTTCTTTCACTCTCTCTCTTACAGTAGATGTCTTGGGCTCTCTCACTCACTATCTTACAGTAGATGTCTTGGGCTCAAAGTAAACGATTCGTGTACCAGATAGAAACGATAGGTAGGACAATCCCCTGCACATTTTGCAAACTTAAAAAACGTTACATGAGAAAAAAAATGCTACAATCGCAGGTGTGAAATACATAACTCTCTTGTTCTCTCACTCTCTCTCTCTTACAGTAGATGTCTTGGGCTCTGCTCTCTCACTCTCTCTCTTACAGTAGATGTCTTGGGCTCTGCTCTCTCACTCTCTCTCTTACAGTAGATGCCTTGGGCTCTGTTCTCTCACTCTCTATCTTACAACAGATGTCTTGGGCTCTCTCACTCTCTCTCTTACAGTAGATGTCTTGGGCTCTGCTCTTTCACTCTCTCTCTCTCTTACAGTAGATGTCTTGCATGGGCTCTGTTCTCTCACTCTCTCTCTTACAGTAGATGTCTTGGGCTCTGTTCTCTCACTCTTTCTCTTACAGTAGATGTCTTGGACTCTCTCGCTCTCTCTCTTACAGTAGATGTCTTGGGCTCTGCTCTCTCACTCTCTCTCTTACAGTAGATGTCTTGGGCTCTCTCACTCTCTCTCTTACAGTAGATGTCTTGGGCTCTGCTCTCTCACTCCCTCTTTTACAGTAGATGTCTTGGGCTCTGTTCTCTCACTCCCTCTCTTACAGTAGATGTCTTGGGCTCTGTTCTCTCGCTCTCTCTCTTACAGTAGATGTCTTGGGCTCTCTCACTCACTCTCTTACAGTAGATGTCTTGGGCTTTCTCACTCTCCCTCTTACAGTAGATGTCTTGGGCTCTCTCACTCTCTCTCTTACAGTAGATGTCTTGGGCTCAAAGTAAACGATTCGTGTACCAGATAGAAACGATACGTAGGACAATCCCCTGCACTTTTTGCAAACTTAAAAAACGTTGCATGAGAAAAAAATGCTACAATCGCAGGTGTGAAATACAAGTCAAGTAACGTTTAAAAACATTATGTTTACTTAGTTTTATCTTTGGTCACCTTTATCGACAAGGAAACAAAAAATTCATATTGTTTAAATATTTTAAAACGGTCACATAAAATTTTAAGTAGTCAGAAGTTCATATCTTGCATAGTTATTTAAATACTTTGTAATAACTAACTATTTGTATCTCTTTAGTAAATAATACGATCAATCGGACAAAGATCCAATGAAGTGCAATAGTTTTACTTTTAAGTAAATAAACTTGACAATAAAAATGT